ATGATTAACCCTCAATCCCATAGGTTGTGTATGCATATGTGAGGGATTAAACCCAAATCTTGTTTCAAATTATAATGTATAATTGTTGTCTTTTGATGTATATATGTATGTAATTGTATTATTGATTTGTGAATTGTTCTTGTTGTGAATATATGAACACTTGCAGGTTCCCCAAGAACCCTAAAGATGTGTGTAAATCATTAAATTATTGAAGAAACAATTTCATATGGTAAACCTATTTATTAAGAACAAATTAATGACTTTGGATATCCTCTTGTTAACATGAATTCGTGATGTGAATGAAACCCAATTGGTGAGAGTGTAATTTGCAAATTATGTAGGATGGGAATTTACTAATATCGCGGTGGGTGCCGCACTTCAAGGACGTCGGGTGCGAAAGCTCAAAATGCTCGTGACATCATTGACGTCGAATGTGAGCTTAGTCACATCGAGCGTGGGGGCTTTAGGGAGCTCTTAATCATGTCGAGCCTGGGGCTTTAGGGAGCTCTTAGTCACATCGGCGTGGGAGCTTTAGGGAGCTCCCTATTGTGATTTTGCCAGGTGTTGAAAGTGTCACATCGAGCATGATCCTTCTAGAGGCTCTCGACCTCAAACACCCCAACCGTAGGGTAAGCCACATCGAGGGCTACCTTGTTCCTAAAGAAGAACTATATGCTTGTTTGTTTAATAAATGTGAATAGATTAAATGATAACCCTTATGAACTAATGAATGAGAAATAAATTATGTGTATAGAATTGGAGATTGAGAATGTGGGTGGTATTAGTATAGACTTATGATATTCTGAAATATATAAGTGACATGTGATAAGTGTTAATGATCTTGTAAATAAATCTAAGTATAACTTAGTAGTAATGTGAATTGTGAATTGAGAAACTAAGTGAATGTAAATTGTGCAAACATGCATGAGAGTCTGTATGTCACACATTATTTGCATAAAAGTATTTTTATGATAGATACAATGTGAAATATGCTGTCAGGGAAGGTCTCCCTTGTGTAAAAACTTGTGGATTCCATGACCTTGAGGATAATTAGGTTTGGGAGTCCCAATCCTACCATTTTGTGAGCATGGATGAAACTTAGCCAACATAGTTATCCTGATGCGCCACTAGTGTGTTTTCTCCTAGTGTGTAGTATTGTGATGACTTGACCTAACATGAACTCCTAAGCTACTTAGCCTTCTAGTAGGGATAAAAAGTTTTACTAGTATCACATGCATGTAGTTAGGAGAGTCTTGTCTTATCATGAGCATAACATACCTTTTGTTTTTAAAGTATGATATTATTATATGATGACATGTAATGTGATATAATGTGATTGAGTGATTATTGTTCCAATTGACATATTGACATATATGAAATATTTACTATTGAATTATATATGTTTGTTCTATGTTATTGCATATGTGTGGCTACTCGGCCATTTCCTACACTAGTAACCAAAGTAAGATGTTTTTCACTTTCTTTTCTTTTTGTGTTTTGTTTTTTGTGTGTTTATACAAGTGACTTTATTCTTAGAGAAATTTGAATTGTTTATGGGTTCGCTCTAATAGGATGTGATATCGATTTTTAGATGAAGATTATTTTTTGTTTTATCGCATTAGGGATTTTAGTTTCTTTTCTTAGAAAACATTTCACAATATTTGATATTCCTTGTAATTGCTTTTAGTCTTGTCATGTTTTGAGTTCTTAATGTGATACCTTTTATCGTTAATTTTCAACCATTCAATGAAGTATTTTTTAAACAACTATTTTATAAAAATAAATTTATGCATGAGGGGTAGAGAATCTCACACCATTTTAAGACTTCCAACTCCATTTTATAAATCTATGAATTATACAATTACATAATCAATCAAATTTATAGTCACAACAAGAAGAGATTTTCAAAGACTAAATATATAAGGAGAAAGACATCATTTATTTGCATCTTCGAAATATATCATTTATTTGCATCTTCGAAATATACCAAGTAGTTCAGCTTACAAAATAATTATTTGTTAATTTCTTCTACTTATTTTATTTAATTTATTGTGAACATTAGCACTTAAATGAATTTAGTTTTTGTCTTTTGTGTTTTATTGTAACTCTTTCAATAATGTTTCAACATTTTCCTAATAAATATTTTAATATTCACATAATATCCAACATAAATTAGGTATTGTGCTTGTGTTTATAATCTCCGATAAAAAAATTTACACTATTTTTAATGATAAATATTTTATATTAATATTATAGTTAAAAAATTCATTAAAAAAAGTTGTATACAACTCCTATCACAGACATTATAACAAATGTTAATAACACTAATTTACCAATCTTTATTATTGTTGCTTGATAACAATTTAGTCTGTCTTGACTTGAACCTTAGACGACAATATAATAGTATTATAATATGTAAATTATCAGACCATGCTCCAGATAGACAGGCTAACTACCCATTATTCATTTTTTTTATTTAATTATTGCTTCAACAACGATACGAATTGCATTTTAAAATTCATTTGTAACTTTTTTTTAATTTAATACCAGTGATTTATTAATCAAATTAATTGTTATTTAATCATTACTATATGTTTTAGGTTTTCATTTTATGTATCACAATTCTTTTTTTTATCATTTTCTCTCCAATTAAACTATAAAACTTATTCATTGCGCCCTCAAATAAAATGAATGTAAATTTAATATTGTTAATAGTTTAATAATATATATTTAAAGTATAGATATTAAAGCATTTAATTTTATGCAATACTTACAATATAGCTTACTCGTACATTTAAAGTATATTGTTCTTTCATATCTTAAATCTTTTAATAAAACTTCTGATAATAGAAACATGTATAATAATAAGTTCTCATTAGAAGATATATGAAATATCTACAAAATAAATGTAGTGTTGAAAATTATGCTAAGGTGATTAAATGTTAGATTATTACCTTAAATATTATTTCAATGCGAAGATGGTAAAAAAAATTGTAATAATAAACTTCATTATGTAACATAAGATAAGTTACATATGAAATTAAGACATTAAATAATAAAATGTTTTAATGAAGTTTTTACTCTTTATAATTTTATAAATTTTATCTTTTAATCTCTATAATTTAAAACATTTCATGTTAGTCTTGATATATCATTTTAATTTTTTTAATTTCTATAATTTTATAAATTTTACATTTTTGTTCATAGCAATAGATAACTATGGAATTATAAACTAAAAAGATAATTAAATTTAATAAAATTATATGCTTACAATACTTTTACATTAAATAAAATTTAAATAATTCATTTATTTATTCCGCAATTTCATATATATATAGTTTACATTTTTATTTTGATCTTTTTTGTAATCTAATCTGGTTACTCCTTGTTGGATACTAGAATAACTAAATAAGAGATAAGAAAATAAGAGTTAAAAGGAAATAGCAGACACAACAGAAAAATTTTACTAAAATAGAAAATCACTCTACTCTTCACTTTACAATTTATTCCTTAAAATTGGAAAATATTATTATCGGAAAAAAAAATTCTCAAAATAGATAAAGAGAAGAGACAAAGATTTGGGGACATACAAGAAGTCACAAAGCCTTATTTTATAGACCAAGTGTGGAGTTAAAAAATAAATCCACCAATTGACTTGTGACACTCTCATGGATCATTCCAAAATGGAAAAATGTTTCAAAATAAACCCATTTTAGTAATTATTTTCAAAAAATAACAAACAATCGTATATTATCTGCTAAACTCTTCATGTAGAGATATTATAAAGGACGAAGATACATTTTATATACAAGAAATGCTTAATTTAACGAATCATGTAAACATAATCATCTGACGATATGTACCTATGCTTCAGAAAGAAGGAGAGATTTCATGATAAAGAAAGCAGTTAAGGCAACTAAAATGTTCAATTTGGTTAACTATATTGTTTAAACAGTGTTATTTCTACATCTAAACTGATGCACCTTACCTCACCATCCATTTGTGAGAAAAATAGAGGACACGTTTAGAGGGAACTCAGGGTGGTTGAATTTTTTTCTTCTTTCTGAAAGTGATGTGTATGGTGCAAGTGTTGGATAGATTAAGTGTAGAAATGACAAACTAGTGTTGCATGATGTTTGTCTAAGATTATGATGCTGTGGAATATATTACTTTGCTCCTTGTGGATGGTGCTTTCAGCTTAGCAAGCTTTCTTGAAAAGGAAATAATTAAATTGATCAAGTTTTTCTTGGTATGGCATGCATGTTATCTGTCATTTAGTTTGTGGTGATGTATAAGAATATGGCAAACAACTCATCTACAGTGACTACTCGAAAGAATCCGCTTCTGAGTTACTTTGGTTTCAAGTACATCGGTTGTGAGAGTTACATGTCACCAAAATTTCTCATGGCTTTTCTGCTGATAATCAACTTTCTTTGGCGGTGGCTTCGGGGTTTCAAACCAATTTAAACTTGTGGTAAAAATAGTCCAAATCAAATTGATTTGGAGATGTCACATGATATAAGGATATATTTCATCAATTACCGATAGGAAACAGCAGTTAAGAATTGCATGATGAATTGAAAAGTCTATAACCTTTTCTTTACTTATTTCACTTTTCACTTTTTCTATCATACTAAATTTACAAACTGGTTCCTTAATTTATACTTGAACACCTTTGAGGTGACTCTTTTGGATATGACATTTTTAATATACCAAAAAGTGTGTCCAATATAATGGGAATGAGTTTAGCAGGAACGGTATTAAAAAGAGGCAAATCTCGAAAAGGTTTGACTTGTACAAGAAGGAGGTCAAACGGTCAAGTGAAATTGATTGTCTTGGACACCACTCTAGAGTTGTTCTAACAACTGATCTCATTAAAAAATGAGAAAAAAAACACTTTAAGATCTTATCGAGACTTTACATATTGCAACAACCACATGGTATCATTCCTCTATAAATTACCTACCAATGAGATGTGTTGCCACAACAGTTCAGACTCAAACAAACAGTGTTCAAAGATTACATTTCTGTTTTGCACTCTCTAGAACAAAGGAAATATGGGTGTTCCTCCTCTTCAATCATTTGAATTGCCATCATTGCTTCTCTTCTCATTGTTCATCATCCCTCAGCTTGCACTAGGAGGCATTACCAGGCACTACCAATTTGATGTAAATCTCCAAAGGACTTGATGTCTTTATCTAAGCTAGCTTATATTTATTTATTTTTTTTAAAATTGAATTTCACATTGTTTTTAGCATACTTTCCCATGTTTATTTTTTTTTATCTAATGATGACTCGCTTTTTGATGTAATGTAGATAAAGTACCAAAATATATCACGACTTTGTCACACAAAGAGCATGGTGACAGTGAATGGTCAATTTCCTGGGCCACGCATTGTTGCTAGGGAGGGTGATCGGCTTCTTATCAAAGTGGTTAATCATGTTCAGAACAATATCTCCATCCATTGGTAAACTTTATTTCTTTAAAAAAAACTTAGTTAAAAAGAAATTGAATATATTATATAGTTGTAAATTAGACTTTGATGTATTAAAAAATTCGTTTACCTTGGAAATAGGCATGGCATTCGACAGATTCAATCAGGGTGGGCTGATGGGCCTGCCTATGTGACTCAGTGCCCCATTCAAACAGGCCAAAGTTATGTCTACAATTACACCATTGTGGGCCAGAGAGGCACTCTCTTTTGGCATGCCCATATATCTTGGTTGAGATCAACTCTCTATGGTCCTATCGTCATTCTTCCCAAGCGTGGAGTTCCATATCCTTTTACCAAACCTTACAAGGAAGTTCCCATCATTTTTGGTAATTACAAAATGATTGTGACATCAAACCATACTATTCCTATGTTTTCTGCATGTGTTTAGGAATGACCTTACTTTGACATAAACCAAAATATTTCAGGAGAATGGTGGAATGCAGATCCTGAGGCAGTCATAGCACAAGCATTACAAACGGGTGGAGGGCCAAATGTGTCTGATGCCTACACTATTAATGGCCTTCCAGGGCCATTGTATAACTGTTCTGCTAATGGTATATATCAAGTGCTTAAATAAAACTAACCAATAGTATTCCATGTTATGTGATTACTAGTGGTTAAATTCCCAAGATTAAGAAGAATAATACCTTGTCATATTCTCATGAATTAAAATTGGACATGTTATGTATCTATATGAAAATATTGGTGTTTTGCAGATACATTCAAGCTAAAGGTGAAGCCAGGCAAAACGTACCTTCTCCGTTTGATCAATGCTGCACTCAATGATGAACTATTCTTCAGCATTGCAAATCACACCCTCACAATAGTTGACGTAGATGCAATTTATGTTAAGCCATTTGACACAGACACTATCCTCATTGCCCCTGGACAAACCAGTAATGTTCTTCTAAAAACCAAATCTGATTACCCCAATGCCACGTTCTTGATGAGTGCAAGACCATATGCGACTGGCCAGGGAACTTTTGACAACTCAACAGTTGCTGGTATCTTGGAATATGAAGTTCCACCACACTCTCTTCATTCAATAGAGAAGCTTTCACTCTTCAAGCCCATCCTCCCAGCCCTTAATGACACTTCTTTTGCAACAAACTTCTCTAACAAGCTTCGTAGCTTGGCAAGCTCTCAGTTTCCTACAAATGTTCCACAGAAAGTGGATAGACACTTTTTCTTCACAGTAGGCCTTGGCACAAGTCCCTGCCAACAAAACCAAACATGTCAAGGACCCAATGGAACAAAATTTGCAGCATCAGTGAATAATGTGTCTTTCACACTCCCAACAACTGCTCTTCTTCAATCCCACTTCTTTGGCCAATCCAATGGAGTTTACTCTCCTTACTTTCCTATTAGTCCTTTGATTCCATTCAACTATACTGGCACTCCACCAAACAACACCAATGTGAGCAATGGAACAAAGGTTGTGGTTGTTCCCTTCAACACAAGTGTAGAGCTTGTGATGCAGGACACCAACATTCTTGGTGCTGAAAGTCACCCTCTCCATTTGCATGGCTTCAACTTCTTTGTTGTTGGTCAAGGTTTTGGTAACTTTGATCCGAATAAGGACCCTTCTAACTTCAATCTTGTTGACCCAGTTGAGAGAAACACAGTGGGAGTCCCTTCTGGTGGATGGGTTGCAATTCGTTTCTTAGCTGATAATCCAGGTCGCTCACTTAATTCGGTTCCTTAATTTCTCATTTACATATGATAAAAATATAAATAAAGAAGAAGAAGGTACTTTGTCTAAGATAGACATAGTTGTCATAAATAATACATTCCTACACATAAGAAAAGACATTGGACATAATTATTAGGACTAATTAAAATTATCATTATTTTGGTGATTTGAACCTTTACTAACAATTATGTTGTATGCACTGAATGCAGGGGTATGGTTCATGCATTGCCATCTTGAAGTGCACACAAGCTGGGGTCTAAAAATGGCGTGGATTGTCTTGGATGGAAAACTTCCACACCAGAAACTGCTTCCACCACCTGCTGATCTTCCAAAGTGTTAAACATTCACTATAGGAATTGCGGCATAACTTTCGGAATATGTTGTTTGTCTTGTGTTTTTAATTTTATTTTTATTTTTTTTCCCATTTTTTATTCTCCTTCAATTAATGGCCCTTTTTGGCATTCTTCGTGGGCTAACTGACTTTATTAGTTCAGTTTTCTCCTTCGTGCATGAGATGAGATGAAAGGGTGGAAACTATATTAAGATCTGTCAAAAATAACGACGTCATTGCTCTCAATATTGTAATATTATTTCATTTCAATGAGAAATCTATGGCTTTAATGATCTAACTTATTTGAACATCTCTATCTGTATTTAAGAAAATTAGTTAATTTTATTTAATTTATTAATTTTATTTTTACAAAATAGTTTTTTCCAATATGTTCTTAATTAAAATTTGATATAAAAATAAATAAAAAAGCGATTGAAAATAACAGCTTACTTAAATGAAGAATCTTTATTACATGATGTCATTCAATATGATACAATTTGTTTATATATTTTTTTTTGTCTATGAATATATGGATATGCAATACTCAAAAACTCATGACTAAAAATAAATTTGTGTAAGTAAAAGGTGACTTTTGCTGATCAAACATTATTTTAATACAACAAAAAATTAAACATGAGAGAGCACCATGCATAATTGAACAACTATACGTAATATTTATTATTTTTTTATTCACATATTAAACTACTGTACATGATTTTATATTTATTTTTTTATATTTATCAATCTCTCTGTAAAGAGAAAGGACATATTTAATAAGAAATTTTTTCATGTGGAAAATATAAATAAGTGATTCAATGATTTATGAATGATTAAAATTAAAATTATTTATTGGTTACATGACTATACCTAAAAAAAATAATGTATATTTTCTTATTATGCTTTATTTGGTATTGACAAATTGTCAATAAATAAATAAATAAAAAGGGAGAAATCAACATAATAGATAGAAAATAAAAATGTGCCTTTGGTACCGAAGAAAAAGTCGAGCAAACAAATAAAATAAGGTTGTCTTTGGTATCGAAGAAAAAGTGAAACACATGAATCATATATGCTTGAACTATATAGTTCAAGGTGATGTTGTATAAAAAAAATAATGAGTTGCTACTAAATTAGATATACTGAAGAGATATGTGTACTTTAAATGGCTTGAGTTGTTTTAAAGACTTAGTACAATAAATTAAATCATATTTAATTATTTTACACATTTGAGTTTAAAATCTACACAAATCCTACTTATTAAACTATAGCAAAAGGTGGTGTTGCATATAGAAAGAGTAAAGTGCTACTAAATTAGGTCTATTAACAATCAAAGGGAGATGCGTCTACTAAATAATTTTGGTTGTTTTGAAGCCATAGCCAAATAAATTAAAATTATATTTCTTTTACGCATTTGAGCCTAAAACTTATACTAACCCAACTTAAGTTATAGCAAAATGATAGTATATAGAAATAGTGGTTTACCAAAAAATTAGGCCTATTAACAATCAAATGGAGATGTGTATATGATAAACAATTTGGACTTTTTGAAGGACCCGATAAATTAAAATCAAATTTCTTTACATACTTGAGCTTAAAACCTACCCAAACTCAACTTTATTTTTTTGACATATACACAAATCCAACTTAAACTATGTCAAAAGGTAGTGTTGTACATAAAAAATAGTTGTGTACAACTAAATTAGGCTTATTAGCAATTGAAGGGAAATATGTCTAGTAAATAGTTTGGATTGTTTTGAAGATTTTGCCAATTAAATTAAAATCACATTTCTTTGATACATTTGAGCCTAAAACCTATATAAATTGGATATGGCCAAATGGGCTAGACCTGGTAGGCCACCTGCTAACACACTAGGTATGGTAATGGGACCCATGGGAGCGGGTAATAGTAAATTCGCCCCTGCCCCGTTAATTTTGTTGAAATAATAATAAAAATATAAGATAATCAATGAATTAAAATACATCAATCTCACAAGTAAGTTAAAGTCTCATCACAAAGCTACAATAATTCAATCTCATAATTCCAAACGAAAGTAAACAACTTAAAATACATAAATTTTATTGGTCCAATCAAAGATAGAAAATTAATCAAATTATATTCAACATAATTCTATAACATGCTTAACACATGTTGGTAATTTCATCAACCTCACTTTTGTAAGAAAATAAGACGAGAGAGTGTACTTTTAGGGTTATGTGGTACAAGAATAATTAGGATATTTAAGAAATATTATTAAACGGGTACCCACGGGTATGAATATCATCATACCTGCCCCCGCCCCATTTATAAACGGGTAAAAAATTATCCGTCCCCATTATCCGCGGTACCCAATTAGCCTATCCATTTATTATCCATAGCGGATTTTACACACAGATACCCACGGATGCGGGTATTTTTGTCATCCCTATAACACACCAAAAAGGGAGGGCTCATGATATATACACTTCCTTTTTTTTATAAGTACACCTCCTTTTTAAAAAAAATAATTAAAATTTTAAAATATTTTTAATTTTTTAAGTTTTAATTTTTAATTTTTTAATTTTACATTCACAATATTTAATTTAGTAAAAAAAAAAAAACTCATACATCTTCCCTCATTTTTTTAATTTTTACATGCACCCCCTTACCTTTCCTTCACCCCACCTATTTTGATAACATGTGAAAATTAAAAGAGAAAAATAAAGTGTGTGAAAAAAAGAAAAAGGTAGCAAATTAAAAGTTAAAGGTGTAAAATTATAAAATTTATAAATAAAAAAAACTAATATTTTATAATTAAAAAAAAGTATAAAGGATGTGTGTATATATCATTAGCCAAAAAGGAGGAGGGGTTCGGGCCAATTAATCCAACCTGATAACTCGTTCTTTTTTATTAAAAAAAAGTAAAAATGAAAATTATATTAAAAATTTAATTTAAAATTTTTTTACAATGCAATTATTTAAGATTTTAATAAATAAAAATATGTGTTAGTTATTCTTGTTAGTTTATTATATAAATTTAATTTCTCTAATAATAATAAAAAAACTAATAAAATGAAATTGAAACTAAATTATTAATATATTTTACATCCTTTAAATGAATTTTCCTATTTACATTAATTTTATAAAATAAATATATATATTTTTCAAAAAAATTTATGGCTATCCTGCCTTAGCAAATTAATGTGACATGCCCACTTTTAATAGATAGCTCAACCCAACTTAATCTTATTTAATAGGCTAACGATAGTTAGACCGACTCATTTTGCAATCCTAATATAAACTCAACTTAAACTATAGCAAAATATGGTATTGAATATGTAAAATAATGGGTTGTTACTACAACCTTTGCTACCTCTTCCTTTTCCTTCAAGAACAATAATGTCACTAACGCTCATTTTTGCCTTTGACAAAGATGAATGCTCACCAGCTTACAACTTTCACAAATAATCCAAAACCAATTTCTTAAGTTCTGTGTGTGAAGGAGGAGAGCATTTTAATTGAGTTCTAACAAAAGGAGAAGAGGAAGATAGAGGAAACGAAGAGGTGAGAGTAACTTGACCGAAGTGGAGGCTTGACATTGGAAACCACCTCCAGTGACAGTGCATATATAGTGGTGGATGGTTGGAAAGAAAAAAAGTTAGCTTTGCTATGGTGTGAAAATGTGCATCATAATCATTAAAAACTAAAGGTTATGATTATTGGTGCACCATACACCACATAAAGCATTGGTGCACCCTAAAACCAGTCTAAATCAAAAACAAAATTCTTTTACACATTTGAGCACCGCATAAAATCTATAACAACCCATCCTGAACTATAGCAAAAGATGGTGTTGTACATATAGAAATAATGATTTGCTATTAAATTAAACTCATTAACCATTAAGATCACCCTAATTGTAAGAGTTGAAATAGTATGTACAAAATTCTAAATTTAAAATTCATCATCGTTATTATAAAGACTCATTAACAATCGAAAATAAATATGTCTAATAATCGGTTTAAACTATTTTAAAGACTAAATAAATTAAAATCATATATGCTAGCCTTATAAGTGTCACCATTCATCCCTCATTCGGTCGTTCCCTCTACATTTTCCCTCAATGCAGAATAACTTGTCGTTCTAATAAGGCATGACAACGTGCATCGAGTATAAGTTTCATGATATCCGTCCATATTCATGTGGTTTAAACTCATTCTCATCTTCCTTCTCGTACCTGTTAGGTATGTAATTTTTGTCTCATCCCCGTCCTCGTCAGGTATCAGGTATACCCGTACCCGTACCTATCAGTAATTAATTAATTTTTTTTACAAAAGAAACACACAATATTTTTATTTTATCATTTCATATATTACAAATGTAATTGAATTGTTTTTTTTTATCTCATTTTAATCAATAAACTTCTTAATAATTAAAAAATCACAAATGTTTCTGTACCATCCTGGTCGAATTCCGACTTAACTTCTTTACATGGGACAGGTCAGATATGACTCAAGCTGACCCCTCTTTAGGGGTACACTCGGTCAAAATCTGACCTGGCTTCTCTGCATAAACCAGGTCGGTCATAATCCGATCCCACTCACCTATAAGAGCCTGCTCGGCCAAGACCCGACTGGGCTTCTCTATATGGGTTTGCTCGGTCAGGGGCCGATTTGACCTCCCCATATAGAAGCTATCTGATGGCAAGGGCAAAATCCCACCTTCATTTACCAAATATCTTCCAGATAAAAATGGTTAAAGAAATTCCCACATTCTCGGGGCCCATGAGGCCCATGAACAAGAAACTATAAGACCTAAAATCATAGGGTTTGGAAGAAACCTAGTCCACCTTGTGGTCGAAACATTTTGGCGCCCACTGTGGGGTTACGGTGAAATTTTTCCTACGCCCCAAGTAATACAGAAGAACCTGCACTTTACTATGGCGAGAGGCGGCACATCGAACAGCGACTCACAACACCCCACCATGGAGGAGATGATGGCGTTGATCAATGGCTTGAGAGATGAGAATGCGCGATCCAGGGAAAGGCAGGAGGCTATTCAACGAGAAAACGAGGAGATCAGGAGGCGAGCAGATGAGATGCAGGCTATGATAACGGCCAATACCAGGTCGGCGGAGGAAGATGTCATGATGGAAGTCCCTAGGGATTTTCGACCTTTCTCGGAAGTTATAGAGGTCGAGATCATCCCGAGGGATCATCGGGTCCCCCAAGTGGAACCTTTTGACAGAACCCAGGATCCTAGTCAACACTTGATGGATTTCCGGGCTCAAATGCTGATTTGTGGAGGGAGTATGG